TAGTTGTTAACAATTCGATTTACAGACTTAATAGCTCTTTTTTTGACAAGATTCAGGTGTCTTACTTGTTTTTCCCCGAACTTTGCACATTGCTATTAGCACAAGTGTTACTTTTACCTTTTCTTCGACAGAGATGAACGAATGCCTGATGATACAGAGCTTTTCTAGCACGGCCCTCGCCTATAGACTCAAAACACGCCGTTGCGAAGCCGCCCATGAAGCTTTTGGCGACCCTGTTGTTGTGTTCGCTGTCTCTCTCTCTCTTCCCCCATGGGGAACTCACTGATCACCCGATTTTCTTTGTGTTGATTCCTCTTGTTTCTCTTGTGTTGTGTTTGTTTGTATGTTTTCACCACAGGGTAGCTACTGGCTCAGGCTGGTCTCCTCATGTGACATTTTCTTAACCACCATTGAAGGTGGCCAGGTAGGTGGACAGCTTTTCTGGAGATAAATATATTCAAAATGGTAGCTTAAATCTGATAATGAAAACCCTTTCTGGCTTAGTACTTTGTTGGTGATTTAAAGCTGGCGGTATCTGTCACATCTTTGTTTATGTCCTCTTCTTTCAGCCTGAGCATCATCTTGTTCCCTTTGTGAAGGCTGTAATATGGCGTACAACAGACTTCTATGATCATGATACTGATAACTTATGTCGAATCAATACAATGCGGATCTTGGATGATAGAGGTTCTAAACAATGAGATTAAAGAAGTACTGCCCACCCCTAAAACGTTTTGGCTATAATGTCTTGCGTTAAATTAAGCATTCAGTTTAGAATGCCTCAACAATTTGTCTACGCCTGTGTTAGCAGTTGGCCTGTATCTGGAGTTTCGGTCTCAGTCTCTAGCTTCGGGTCTTTCTTCCTACAGCATGAGTGGTTCTTTGTAACTTGATGGTCCCTTTTTTGAGGAACAGACCATAAAGGCAGGGATTTTTGCCTTTAGGGCGGGGGCTGCTTTGTGGATTGACCAGCCTTCTCGGTGAGTCCGGTTCCGCTCAACGGCCCACCAAGAATCAGGATCAACTGGCCTCAACTAGGCGTGCTGATCGAGATATGATTCCAGATTTTAGACTATTTTCATGTCTGTTTGTACTTATCATGTTGGTGGTTGCTTTCCTCTCCTGGCGGCCAGCCAGACGGATCTCGTACCAACCTCCTCCAAGAGTCCGGGCATCGACGCCCTTTCTTCAGCCTCACCGTTCATTTGCGAAGCTGTCCTGGGATGGATGAACAGGATTTGAATGTACATACAGCTGAGTTACGTTAGATATGATGTTCCAAAGACATTATTGGTATGTAATTATTCAGGATCTTAAATATTTGCCCGTTCATAATCAACAGGGGACATTGGATAAGTATTTTTAAATCGTATTACATGCAAGGTCCCAACTTTGCTGTCTCATGGTTCTACGACTGGCAGGTGGTAGCCAAATGGATGGCCCCCCTAGGAGGACATTTACATTACATATGCAGTACATCACAAATTTGTTATAGATTAAAACAGGAAATAAGAATAAGCACCCTATATAACATATAACTGGCTATAAAAAGGAGACATTGTGATTCTGGTTCCAGTTTTTCTTTATAAATACAGGACTACCTAACATGAAAGCACCAGTCCCTGTTAAATAAACCAACGGATAAATAAAAATAACAGATATTTCTGGGTGAATTATCAGGTGGGTAGAATGTACTAGGTTTGTTTTTGGTGCTGTTTAGGACCAAAAATAGCAGAAAGTTAGGGGAGATAAAATTGCAATGATTTTGTTACCACACAAACTGGCTGTTGGTATTTGGGTGGCTCCTACAGGCATTCGTAACATCACCAACGCGAAGGACCCAGAACTGCGTTTATCAATAAGGGACCAAATAGTTAAAATTGCTTCACTTTCTTACAAGCCACTGGCGTCCAGGGGGTTACAAAAATAGCGTTCTTAGCATAATGCTGAAATGAAAAGATGTCCTTTTAGGTGTCCCTGGGGAGGGGATGCTGACCTTTTTGCGTTGGCGTCCCGGCGGGTGGAGGAGGGAAGACATTGCAGGGAGCAAATTTAGCAGCCTCCGAATCAGGGGGAGAAGGGAGCTGGGACAGGGAGGAGGGAGCAGCAAACAGGGGCTGACAGGCAGTGCGAAACAAACGCAGGACTCTTTTCAGGTGGGCCTGGAAAGGTGGTCCAGTCAGGCCGTTCATGAACAGTAGTTCCTGGCTAATCCGGTTCGAAGGGATCATAGAGACGATTTTTACAGGGCCGGAACAGGGGCGCAGCACCAGGATCAGGCCTTGCATATTATGCACACTTTCTACAACATTTTCAGGTGCCAGGGAGATTATTTGATTTACCCGTCGGACGTTTGGTTATCTTTTATTGTACAAGGAAGGTTGGTCAAGGGGAGTTCATGTACGGGGCAGAAACTTTTTATGTTTCACTTTATTGTTGGTACCTTAAAGTCCAGTGTGGTAACATTTAGGAGGATGCTATTGGCAGGGAAATACAAGTCATAAATACTCGTCACTCGGTCACTTTCCAAGCGGTTTCAGATAGGATCTTTACACATTTGGGTCTTTTAAACTGGACTGTATTTTATAAAAAGGAAAAATAATGGGAACACAATCAAATGTTTTTCCCTTAATTTGGCCCTTTTTATATTAGTTATTTATTCTATGTATCTGCCCCCCATGAAGTTTTATGAAGTTTCTTAAACCTGAATTTCCTATATAACGGCCAGCAGGCGGCTCTATGTACCATACAGTTCCTTATTGGGGAGGAAATGAGCCGACGTTCTGAGTTGATTTATGGAGGCCTCATGCTAAACAGTTTCCCGATGAGTTTCTGGGTCTTCAGTCTTCTTAGTTTCAGGTCTTTCTTCCATACAGGATGATGTTCATTTTGTAACTGGGGGGATGCGGTCCCAGAGGTTAGGGAGTAAAACAGACCATAAAGCAGGGGCGATGCTTTTTAGGACGGGGGTACCTTGTGGTTGACAGGCTCATTCTCAGGTGTTCCGTTCCAGCTCAAGCGCACCAAACTTAGATCAATTGCCTCAAACTAGCCAGTGCTGATCAGCTGATTATGGAATCAGATGTCTGTTGGTTGACTACTTTCTCTCCTCAAATCTGGTTCACAAACAGATTCTTTACTGTTGCTATCTGGGAATATCCTGTGTGAGCAGGAGAGCCGCAATTGTTTCCTGCTACAGTCGAAACTGAGCAGCTAATGAGAGCAGCTCAACTCACACAACGTGACCTCCGCTGGCTCCAACAAACCAACATGGCGAGAACCATAACGCCAACTTCGAGGTTTTTAAAACTGGACTTTACAAACCGATGGGTGACGTCATGATAGGTTCACACTTGTTGTGGACTCACCTGCGAGTGCTTTGAAACCCAGTGCCGGAGCACATTCAGGACTCTGTTGGTCGCAGCTCTCCGGATGATGAATTCTTTGTCGCAGGATTTCTCAGAATTACTAAAACCTGAGAGGGAAAGAAACGAAGGATTAGGCCGACAGTTTTAAACGTCTGAGGTCATTCTTGCCATTTAGCTACCTGTAAAAAGCCATTTACAACAGTTCCCTCCCTCAGCTGTGTGTCTTTTTGACCTTCATGGCTTGCCGTGCTCACCCTGGGAGCTGCTATGTCCAGCAGCAGCAGTGGCGATCGCAAACGCTGAAGCCGGCGACATCGTGCAGCGAGAGTTCTCCCCCGATGTGACTGCGTGGGAACCAGAGACATTATAAACACAGCATGAAACACCATCAGCAGGAACAGCAACACTTGGCTGCTCTGCATGCACACATCATGGATAACGTGTGTGTCTGTGTGTGTCTGTGTGTGTCTGTGTACCTCCTGTCTGTCTGTAGCGGAGGTGCCTTGGCGTTGAAGGTGAGCGGCAGGGAGACATGTCGCCCGGCTCGCTGTTGGCTGGTGATTCAGGGATGAACTTGTCCAGAGATACTGACTCCAGGACAGCTGTTAGAGGAAATAAAAGCCACAACTCACACGTCTGTATCATGATGTAACCTAAGTTTTGTATATTTCTGTGAGGTTTGTTCAGGTTCACAGAGCAGTGGAGGAAGTATTCAGATCCTCCAGACTGATTTTAAAAGGTGAGGTAACATTTTAGATATTGATTCAGCTTTGAATACACTACTATATGTTGGGGGTGTAGAGTGAGAGGTACGCTCTGTGGCAGTGCTTCAACATTCTTCCTGATATTTTTAGTAACCTTTTATACAATTCTCTGTCTGTTTTATGCATTTTTACATTTTTAATAATCATTCATACTTAATAGGCTTTTTTTTTGTTTTTGCCAAATTCAGTGTTTTCATCTCTTTAGCTCTTGTTATATCTTGTTTTAACTTTCTCATGCAGGACTAGGCTGTTTTTCAGAGAGCGAATATAGTTTGCGTTCAAGTCTTCACCGTGCCCTCATCCTGTCAGAGTTTATATCTTAAATAATAATCTAGAAATAACTATTTGAGTTAGTCTAAGATTTAAGTTTTCTTAAATCCTTTAAGATCAAGATCATGAAGGCCTTGTGACACCCAGTGCTTTTTGGGGATTCATTTGTATATCTTAAGGGTAAAAAAGCAAAAAAGGGCAAAGCCAAAATTGTTCAAATCAACTGGATCTGAAGATTCTGACATTCAGATGCTGCATCTCCTTCAAACTTCTGTGTTTGCTTTAATCTGTTTTTTGCTTTTTCGCTGAAATCTGTGACAAAAATAGTTTTCAGTCATCAGAAAATGAAGCATGGGGTTTGGATTAAAAAGCAGCAGCTTTTAGAGACGATACACCCAGACAGATCAGCGGAACCAGCCGACAATGGCGGGTGCTGTCGCCCCAAGAGGAGAGGAAGAGATCCGGATGGGAGCCATGCTGAACCAGCTTTGACTTAGCTCCTTGCTAACGTCTGGAGGACTTGTCGATGATGCTTGGTGCTCAAAAGCAGTCAAAGAGGATGGACACCATTTCTTTTTATGTGAAGATGAAACCATATTATGATCACTATCCCGTTGCTGCTGTTTACAATCAACCAGACGCACATTCACAACAATGCTCTGCTGAACTATTTTATCCTAACTTATTTATCTGCTTTGTTCTGTCTGTGTGCAGCATGAAGGAACTACAACTTTCTTCTGGGAGCGGAACCTTGGGTTGTATAATGACAAAATTCAATTCAATACGTCTGTTTCCTCTTAGCAGTCACTCAGGCTCCCAATCAAGCTCCATTTATCTCTTCATTTTCTTTTCCTCCTCTCAAATTTGTTTTTTTGGCCTAGCGCTCCCTAGCCATTTTTATAGTGAACAAGCTGTCAGCTGTAGCCAGATGGTGATCTAGGAGCACAATTATTCCTCCGTTGGGTAATGGTGACCCATTTATGTCTCTCTAGTTTCTCTAGTTCGGGTTCACTATCAGTGATGTGTCAGATTGATAATATTAGTAATAAATCATATTCACGCTGGTAGAAGTCACTATGCAGTAGATGTTGGAAATAAAACAGTTTCATAACACTCCAACACTGAGGCGTGTGCCCACACATGTGCTGATGTTCATATGGGACCGTCGAGAGTGTGAATCATATGCTTTTGTGTTCAAGCTACATACCCCTGCGGATGCTGCGCCTCAGCTTCCCACAGAAGGCGTCGAGGCGAGGCAACTCTCCGCTGACGTCCTCCCCTGCAGCTGGGCTCAGCTCGGGGGAGCTGGGACCACGGCTGAGGTCCAGCGGGGCTTTGGTGCAGATGGGGGGCGGCGAGGACACCCCAGAGGCCTGGGGGAGGCTGGGAGAGCGCGTGGCGGTGGGTGGAGGAGAGGAAAAGCCAGATGGGGGCCTGGTCGAGCCAGGAGGAGGGGAGGAGATGGAGGGGCTGTGGCTGGAGGTGGGGGAGTTGGCTGCAGAGGAGGAAGGGGTGGTGGACAGGTCCAAGGCTCCTGCTTTCCCGCTGACCGGGGAAGTGAGGGAGAGCTTGCGGCAGTGGACGGGGGAGGAGGTGCGAGAGGGGATGGTGAGAGGAGGAGGAGAGGAAAACTTGCGGCACAGCCTCGGGGATTTGTTGTTCAAGGGGTCGGTTGCCCACGAGCCCTGGTTGGTGGCAAAGAACAGCTCCAGAGACCTGAGAGACAGGAGGAGAGTTGACCTGTAGACCGGTCTTTGACAAATGTGGGTACAAGTGAATCACCAGTCCTGTTGATGGTATTTACTTGGACTGGTCCAGTGCAAGCTGTGTGATCTTCAGACTGTAGTCAGGACAGAGGGACATGATGGACAGACGATCACATGAATGTTGCTCGATCCTGGGACAGTGACAGAGGAGGAGGAGGAGGATGAGGAGGGCATGGTAGAGTGATAGATGAAGAAAGGAGGCGAATAATGAGAAAAGAAAATGTGGGAATGGAAAGATGGAGTGAATGCATGAGTCTGTTACATGAGAGGAGAGGGACAATGAGGATGGATGTGCAAACGAATAGAGCATGGTATTTACACGCTTCTTATGATCGGATCACAAGTTGACAGCTCTAAATACAAGTGTTACCGACCACCAAGACACAGACATATAATAAAGACTTATTAATGCACATTAATGCATATTAAAGCATTAAAGCTGTCCACTTGAGATCGGATCAGAAACAGGGCCGCAGTGTTGTTGGAACCAGGTGAAACACAGTGACGTGTACCTAACAGGTATGGAGGTAAACGGCTTCTTGTAGATGTCAGCCAGCTTGTCGATGACTACGGCAGCTGTGGTGAAGATCCTGTACGTGTGGAGGAAGGTGTTAAGGAAGTCTATGGAGAGGAAGCGCAGGTCCGTCAGTCGCTCCAGCAGACGCTCCACGCTGGCGTATCGGATCTGTGGCACCTTGCAGGAGTTGAGCGTCTTGCTGAAGCAAATGTCGACGTCGTCTTTGTGCAGTCGGGCGTCAGACCTTCAGGAAGACAAGATGCGAGAAACAGATTATAAACCTATGTAATCTTCACTGCTTCAGTTTAAAATCTTCCTTTATAAACCCCCTCAGACTGTCAGAAACCCTCTTTTCTTACTTGATCATGTGCGGCACAGAAACTTTGGAGTTCTCCTCAAACACGCTGGTCATCAGGCCGTTACATCGGATATTATCGATGCACTGAAAGAGAGGGCAGAGAAACATGATCCCTCATCCAGGATCAGAAATCCAGCTTTTCTCGACCAATTCAGATCAGTTCAAACCACCACACTAAACCTTCAAACACTGACCTGGCTGATATCGCTGGTCCATGCAGCCTTCTCTTGACGAGATGGAGCCAAGAGAACAACGGAGAAGGACTGGCCGTCGGGAGGCTCCACCACGATTTTGAACTCCAGATGGTTGAAGCCTTGACCCGCTGCGTTGTCTGCGAGGGTAAACATAAACGGTCCTTGCTTCAGTCAGCAGCCAAAGACATCAGGGTTGGATATGATCTGATATAAAAATACTCACAGTCCTCATCGCTGGCATCTAGTTCTTCGATGAGAGTACACTCTATCAGAGACAGCGCACCTCCTTGCTGTTGGGGGACAAAAAAAGGGGAGTGGAAATTCAATATTATATTTGTACTGAAATACAAACTCACTAACAAGTTGCTTCACTTGTTGTAAGAAAAAAAAATTGATAATCTATGATATTTTATTGGATTCTCAGTGATCACTTACTAATTAATCAGTACATTAAGCATAATCAATAAAACTTATATTTATCTACAGAAATCTGAAGAAACTCCATCTAAAAACAATTAAATGTGTCCACTATGCCGTCTTAGGAAGTTGTTTCATTAAGCGGCTTATTTAATCAATTACAGCTCGGTGTTCACACATATAACAAAGCTAAATGGGATTATTATTAATTATGCCAAATATATTTAACCTAGGCAGCAGCAGATGTTTTTAGATTCAGCAGCAAACAACTATTTACCTTCTCCCTGTGTTGATTCCCGAGCTTTGTTTATTTCTCCTTTGTTGGCTTTGAGCAGAGCGACTGAAACTGCAGTTTTACTCATCTACGTTTGTTAATTAAGGATTAAATATGTAATAAGACATCAAATTACATTTAGATTTTCTTAAACACTGAGACTGTAAATCAAATTATTGGTCAGGGTTTTTAAGCCATGACAATTACTCAGAGAATCCATATTTAATGAGCACATAACTGCTGTTCTACATCCTATGCATCTGTCAGCATAGTTACTGCGATTAACGTTTGTAGGGCAGGACAGAGATTTGAATAAATATAAGTTAAACAGCTTGTTAGGTGATTATTAACTGACTGACCTTGAGCAAGTGAAGCTTTCCTCCTGATGTTCGGGTACAGATGAGGAAGTGTTTGGTGAACAGAAAACACTGTCGCTCTCCTTCCTTCCTCAGTGAGAGGGAGCCCAGGCGGACCTTACTGAGCATGCCCCGCTCGCTGCTGGACGGCAGCTGGATGAGAGAGCCTGGCCACGAAGCCACAGTGAGTGAGTGAGTGAGTGAGTGAGTGAGCAAAAAGTGATGGAGCTAAAGAGTTGGAGAGCGAGGTGTTGTAGAGGGAGCTCACCTTGTCGGACGAAGGTCTGACTGGTGTCTAACAGGATGTCACAGCCCTCTACGATCATCCTCTCTATGGCCAGATTCTTCCGGATGTTCTCGGTGTCGCTCACCTCGTCGTGCATCATCCTGACAACACGAACCACCGACGTTATCATCGACAATATCAACGACTCTATCGCCACACAAATATTGAACGTGCACAAACACACTCACTTTGACAGCTCCTCCAGTTTGGATTTGGCAAATTCCAGACTCTTGCGCTCCACGTGCTCGTGAGGCGTGTGCGCCAGCAGCTCATGGAGAGTGATGATGTATCGTGGAATCTAAAACGCAGAATAAAAACACATTTGTGACACAGCTTTGTCTGAATATAAACAAGGAAAAAGAAGCTTTGGCCAAGTGTCTCATTGCCAACTTTATTTAAAAATAAACATGCTTGAAAGTTTGAAACGTGGGGAACACTTTGTATGTATGTTTGTATGAATCAGCTGCTAATAAAATATTCACCAGTTCCTACTCGTAATATGTAGGTACAGTGGAAGGTAAGACTATGGGGAACAAGGGAGTAACAATAGGGCTTTTTAGAGGAAAGTAGAAATTATCAAGTAACTAAAGAAGCACTTGAAACAGGACAGTATAATTTACTAGTATTGACACATTAAATCCAGTCTATTCCTCTCTTTTTTTAAATGATGCAGGGTTCATGATGAAGTGTTTCAGGTTCATTACAGGTAAGGTCTCTCTTTCATTTCCAGTACTGAATCATGTAGGTACCTGTTTTTTGTTTTTTGCAAAAATACCTAAAGAATAAAAATTATTTTCTTCATTCCTCTAAAATTGTTCCTCAGAGTATTGTTTCCCCTCCACTGTGCCTGCATTAAAGTAGCAGCAGGAAGTGGTAAATAAGTTATTGGTACATGAAATGTGTGTGTGTGGAGGTGTGAATGCTACCTGGAACATGGGATAAGTGAGGAACGTCTCCAACATGCGGCCCTCGCAGGCAGCGTTGGACTCGTACTGTTTCAGCAGCTTGTCAAAGTCTCTGTTCTGCTTACAGTTGGCCAGAACCTGCAGACTGTACTGGTGGTTGCGCACAAACTCCTGGTAGATGTTCAGCATGGGCAGCAGGATGTCAAACAGGTCCGCTGGGAAAGACAAAGACAAACAACACACACTAACCTTGAGACAAAAGGTATCATAGTGAACAGTGTGGCCGACGATCCTTAGATAACTAAATAACTACCAGAGTAAACTATTTCTTGTTCCAGTTAATGTAATGCAAATTGGAATTTAAATCCAGATGAAAAACAATCATATAGTGAACTGAATTATGGAAAGGATGAGATAAGGAGTCGCTCCAACTTGCATTCACCAGCACCTGACCTGCTCCACCAACCTGCACACCTCTTCCCGTTTTGCCCTTCAGCCCTGGAGTATATATATAATTCCCATTCACTCTTTGCCATACGGCCATTATGCTTCTGCCTTCGCTTTTCAGCCATCTGTTCTGCCTGTTTTGACATTGCCTGCCTTCCCATTAGACCTTTCCCCTCAGCCTGGATAATTGTACCTTTCTTCGTCTGGTTTTGACGTCAACTGTCTCTGAGTCATCTGTGTTCAGATCTGTGTCTCTGAGCCATTACAGAATCCATAATGCCAGTCTAAAATCGTATTAAATTGAAACTAATCAGCTAAAATATGACTGTAATCTCTGCATTACTCACCTAGGACGAGCGTGGGCCAGTTGGCGATGCGAGCTTGAAGACCTTGATGGAAGATCTCATGCAGGAACATGATGGTCTCACTAGAGAAGAAGAACTGGTCTCAAATCACTCTGAATGAGATTTTTCTCGCTGTAACTAAAACTAGAAGATAAAAACTGATTCACATTTATACAAGACAAAAAGAAGCTCATGGCACCTGTTGAGGAATATGCTGCTGACGTCATCGTGGCTGATGGGAGGTTTCTTGGAGCTGGCAGCCATGCGGAGCGGCCTGAGGAAGCAGTTCACCAGGATGGAGAGCTGGTGGACGTATTCCGTCTCCGCTTCCACCATGTTAAAGACAATCTGGTTCCTCTTTCTCATGCTCTCGGCATGAGGGGAAGAGATGTAGTCCTGGACGATGATCTTCCACTTCCTCCGGCACAGCCAGCCTCGCATGAAGCTTTGCACCTGCACAGCCACAGCACACTAGGTGTCTCTGTTTGCTCTTCTTTCTTTGTTTCTCTGCGCATTATTATGTGAAACCAGCAATTTACCTTTTTGATCTTTTTAATATCTGGGTCTTCCTCCTCTTGGTTGCTCTGGTAAGGCTGCATCCTCTCCTTGGTTTTGTTCAACACTACAATCTTGCACAACAACACTCCATGTGAGTACGCTGGCACAGAGGTTAAAATATTCATGAAACCACTTTGAAGGTTCAAAACAACATATACCTCCTTGCATGATAAGGAAGTAATGGTCTTGGAGTCACTGGAGCCCTGCTGGGCTTTAATTTAAGACACACCCATGCTCTAAACCCAAGTGTTTTACCATCATGCCAGAAGCATTTACATGCTTTGATCTGCATGTGCATGGCAGTAGTGTGGCTTTATGTATGCATGCACACGCAGATGTGGGTGCACTCATGCATACCTCGGCTTTAAGCCTCTCGATCTCAGTGTCCTGGTCCTCCAGCTGAGTGCGAAGCTGATTGGCTGCGACCTTCTCAGTCTCCATGATCTGGACCAGGTGGATGTACTTCTGCATCAGGATCTCACGCTCGATGATGATGTCGGAGTAACTGAAGGGAGCATGGGAAAAGGACAGGAGCAGTTATCTGACGATTCACGTTAGTCACAAACTCAACAGCCTGACATTATGTGCTTATTAAACACTAAACTGTTATCACGGTTTGATGTGAATCATATTTTCTACTGAATGTTCAGATGAAAGCAGGAAAGAAAACAAAACAGAGGGAGCGAGGAGGGAAATAGAGGTCGAGTGGCGAGATCAAGTCTATGATGTAACCAGTGTGGCAATACAACACCAGTGTGACCTAAATGTGAACCGCTGCGAGCAGAACATGTCTAATGCGCACACACACACACACACACACACACACACGTTAAACAAATATGGAATAACACGTGGTAGTTATGTCAAATGTGCATCAGTGCAAAAAGCAAGCACAAAGTGGAGAAACAGTTTGAGTTATTTAACAACTTAAAGGTCCAGTGTGTAACATTGAGGAGGATCTATTGGCAGAAATCCAATATAATATTTATAGGAATGTTATCATTAGTGTATAATCACCTGAATTACCATAAATATTAACATTATTCCTAATAATCAGTTACTGCCCAACACTAATACTGATGCATCAGTGTAAGAGCAGCATTTTACAGTTGCAGCTGCTCCAGGTGGAGCGAGTTTGAACTACTTTATATACAGTTAGCTAGTTTAGTTCAGTGGTTCCCAACATAGGGGTCGGGCCCCTCCGAGGTGTCATGAGAAGATTTTTGGGACTTTTCTCTAATCTTTGCTTTTTGGGGGGGATTATCTTGTTTCAACCTCTTCGGGCCTCAAGCAATGCTTTGTGAAAGAGGTCAAAAGGTTGGGAAGTTTAATCTTTAACATTAAAGAACGTATTTTATAAGAGTATCATCTTGTGTTAATGTAAAATCTGAGAAGAAGCTAGAAACTATAGCTGTTAGATGAATATAGGAGTAAAAAGTACAATATTTCCCTCTGAAATCTATCTCAAAACATACAGTGCTTCAGAATCAGGTTTATTGCCAAGTAAATTTTCACATACAATGAATTTGCCTCGGTGCATAGGAATCCCAATCAAGCTAGAAAAATATAAATAAAAGATAAAAAGATTAAAAAATATGTACATAATGTCCAGATAGTTAACTAAATGAGTATAGAAATGTGCATAAAAATTGACTGAGAAGTCTCCAAGTTAGCAGTGTGAGATATAATGAATAAACACCAACAGAAGAGCATTAATGTAACGCATACACACAGGGTGGGTTTAAGAGTCAGGAAATGACTCGAGGAAATGCACTCCACTGCAAACTGAACATTAAAAACAGCAGCGAAATGTTGGTTTGAGTCTTTTCTTACCTGGCTTGCTGGATGAACTCCACCCACTCATTGCAGTCTGACTCCTCCTCTGTCCGGAGCTCCAAAGGTTTCTGTCCATCGTGACCAAAAATGACCAGGAAGTAGTGCTGCAGAGCGAAAAGAGACACAATATAATCAGACCTGATTTTCTATTTATACGAGTCAACCTTAAAATATTGTCACTACATTTATTTGATACCTTTGCACAGATCAGATAATTAATAGAAAATATAAACAAATGAATTATGATGTATTATTAGAGGTTAAGATAACTACCCAGCAGTTTATAACATTAATGCATCAATAATTATAATCTAATAATATACATTGTTTACTTTTACTTTTGGTACTTTAAGTATATTTTGAATACAGAACTTTTACTTGCAACAGGGGCGTAAGAAAATAACAAATATTGTATTGCAATATTTTATTATATATTATATCGATTCTTAAAAATATTATTAAGTTGTGTTTAAACCCCCAACCACTAGATAGCAGTGTTGTCAGCATAACCTGAGGATGTTACAGCGACTGTGATGAATATAAATACAAATGTGTGTTTTTTATACTATGATTGTTTTCCCGAAATTTGATTTATTTAAAAATTAAATTGCAATATATCCCCAAGCTTACAATATCACAATATATTAAATCGTACCCCCTGTATCGTGATGCGTATCGTATCGCCAATACAGCAGCCCTATTAACAAAGTTCTCCTACACTGTGGTGTTACTACTTCTAAGTATTTTTTGGTAAAAGATCAGAGAACTTCTTCCCCCACTGGAACTCACAATGTGCAATATAATGTATGTTTTTAATTTCTATATATTTGTGATATTTTGAAACATAAAAACAAGTGTATTCATCCATCCAACTCTAAGCTCATATTAAAGACATAAACCTTAGTTTCCTAAAACAGCTGTTCACTGCAGGTTTTATCAAATGTTACTCAAACAGGAGGAAATAGTGGTGCATTTGTTGGGGACTATTTTCAACGGCGGATTAACCCACATTTGGCGCTCTACTGAGTATTTGGGGCAGCAGGACGTTGTGTGTGGGACTGAGTCAAAATAAACTACAGTGTGTGTGTTCATGGTGATGAAGGAAGATGTCACCTAGTGTAACAGTCTGCCTCACTGATGTGTTTTAATGGACACAGAGGAAGAAGATCATACATCAGGCTGCACACGATTCCTTTAACGTGAACTGACCACAGGTACATTTGGACAACTTTGCATTTCCTGTTTCCTCTTGTCAGAAATCTTACCCCTGAGTGGAGCCAAGAGGAACTTAAATAGCAAACAGAAACACTACAGCTCCTGCTAGCCTATGAGAGAAGGTGATAACTCAGATATTAAATGAATCTATTGAAATAATAACCAGTGTAAATACTGTTTCCTAAAGCTCTGAAAAACAGAACATATTGTCATGGACTATTCCAGTAATAATACCATAATAAAGCAGTGAGATTATACCTTTTTATATGCAATGTTTTATTAAATATGAATACATTTTAATTACACATCTGATGTAAATAATGGGATGAGGACTAATGGCCCACAGGATCAGTCATTTCCACGCTTTGAGGAGGCATGCTTGGTGTCACATTGGCTGCTCATCATTTGCATAAAGTTGAGGTTCAGGCTACTTAATGCAAATCGGGGGACGTCCGGCAGGAAACTCTAAAAACGTGTAAGCTTACGACCGTCAATCCTAAGAAAGACAGACTGGATGGTTCATTTCTTGGTTCGGTTTGAAATCCTGGAGCAGAAAGTGTTCGTACAATCAGTTGCAGCCATTGACAGTTTATACAATGGACAGACCTTCTGGGTCTGTGAAGTGACTTAAACCTGCATTCTGTGTAACGGCCAGCAGGGGGCAGCTCGACTGGCTGCAATAAAACACAGATACCATTCAGTCTTATGAAGAAATTACTTGAACATGATTTATTAGCTCAGTAAACGTTTCCTGATGATTTCTGGTCTCAGTTCTCTAGTTTCAGTTCTTCTTCCATCACAGCATGATTTTCATTTAGTAACACTGATGTCCCATTTAGAGTAAATACAGACCATACGTAAGCAGGGGATGCTTTAGGGCGGGGCTACTTTGTGATTGACAGCTCATTCTCATGAGTCCTTCCAGCTCAACGCACCAAACTACAGATCAAACTGTCAAACTGCTGATCAGGATATGGATCCAGATTGCTGTTGTTTGACTATTTCCTCTCTCTCAAATCTTGTTCACAAACACGATTTTACTTTATTTATCTGAAATACGAGCTCCGGTGTACCAGGCGAGAGCGCCATTGTTCCAAACCAAGAGCAGCCAATGAAAGCAGCTCAACTCGCAGTACATCACCTCCGCTGGCTCCAACAAACTGTCATGGCGATGACCATAACGCCAAACTCAAGGCTTCGAAACAGTTCTCCACAAACCGTTGGGTAACATCACAATATTTTCACACTTGGTTGCAGCCAAGTGTTTGAGGGGTTAGGAGGGTGTGGTCTTTTGTTGGTCAATATATATATATATAACAACAAGCATCTGATGCTGGGAAGCGATGCGATCCCTCACGTCTAAAACTGCCCCTGTAGACACTCAGCAGCCTGATTCATTAAAGGGAGAATGATTTATCCATCATCACTTGCACTTTCAGTAATGACACTTCCAGTATTCTCCTCCATCACTTGTGTCCATTTACACTCACTCTTGGCACAGACACTAAACAATCAGCCATTTTACTTTCAACAACATAAACTTAAACATCTACATCACCGACAAACGCCACAATCAATGTCACAAGCACTGACTCACAGGGTCAAACTTAAACAGTGTTTAAAACATAAAGTGTGGAGTCACAGCACTCAGAACTCACAAAACTGTGCAAATATCAACATTTCAATCATGGCACTGATAGAAGTACAGTCAGGATCGATTCAGCTGCTGCAACTGTAATGCCTATTGCATTATATCGCATTACTCTGCCCACTTTAAGTTAATACAGTAATTTGATCCTTGCAGATTTGCCTGTGCACATTTCAAGACATAACTTTGATGCATTATTATTCAACGTGTTCACTGACAACAAACAATGTAATGTTCAGCAGCTCTCAGATCTCTCATTATGAAACCTGATAGATATTAGTCCAAACTTTAAGCACTGTTTTCATGCAGTGAAAAGGTAACTTTGACCTCTCCTTTAACTCTCCTGGCTTTCTCTCTTGACTGTTGAAACGTTCATTTCTAGTCTATATCCCGTAATTTCCAGATGGTTACAATGCCATCCTGAGGTTAAGTTACGGAGGAGCACAGTGAATATTTCATCCCCCACCTCCCCCTGTAATGTTAATCCCGTCTGAATCGGGCTTTAGTCCGATTATAGGGCTAGTTTATTACCGGTAGAGGATTACCTTTCTCAAAAGATTTGACAGGTTGGTTTTCTTACTGAGTTGTAATGAAAATAAAACAGACAGTTTGGAAAAATTAAGACTTTGGTTGGCATTAAAACAAATTTGTTAACGTCCTGAGAGGGGCCCGCACTCCTGCAGCTCCATCAAAGGGTCATGTCTTCCAGGAGTGTCATGATGCCTCTGGGTTCTAACCTACTTGGCCACCCTGTCTTCATAGCACCGTGTCCTGCCTCTCTGTCAAAACACATTACCAGCGACGAGCAGTCATGTCACAGCACATCAGGTCACCTCCAGCATCGCCGCACCGATATCAGTGAGCTAATTAAGTGAATTACATGAGTGCCTCTGACAGGTCTTTGGTTGATTCAAGGATAATGTTCGAGAAATGACACCACCTTCCTAACCAACATCAATGACAAGAACACATGCTCACACAAAAACATTTGAACATTTTAAAATCTCGAGGCACAAAAATGTCAACCCTGACGCCATCTCATTGTTCTGATAGCGTATTATTCACAAAACCCCCAAAATGTCAGAAAAATGTCCCAATGGACCGAAAGCCCATTATTCCAACAGCGTGTTGTTCTAAAAACAAACACTCATTGCTCTGAAGGCCTGTTGTACACACTCTAGTATTACAAACTTACACCATCACCGACTTAACTGACTTACCTAACATACTTTAATTCAAACTCTCACAATCTTTTCCTAAACCTAACCAAGTAGTTTTGATGCCTAAACCAACCTGCAGCCGTTTCACAACATTAAAGCTATAATATGTTAAATTCCCACATTAAAATGTCTATAAACTCTGACTTTATGTTCTATATGTAGTTGAGTTCTTACATTATCCCAAATGTTTCCAACAATGTTCAAACTCAGGTAACAGTGCGTTTCACTAGCCGCCTGTCGATGGCATCATATCCCCTTTGTGTCTGCGTCAGCGTTGTGGTTGTCTGCCAGAAGCTGTCATACATTGACTGTTTATCCAGTCTGAAGCCACATTTTTACCATCCACTGTTTAGATTTTGGTTGCTTTTTAACGATAGGATCTTTAGTCTCGACATCTGGATCTTAAGTTATCAGAGAAACAGCTGAGCTTACATGTTAAGCGCAGCTCGGCTCGCAGCCCCTCCAGACATCCTTTTGTCTGTCCAACAGGTGGAGAAGCAGTGATTTAAACAGCATTTTAACCATAAAATCTGGTGTTTTGTTATTTCGGGACAATGGACTCTGACAAATAGGACATTTTTCGACTTTGGGGGTTTTGAATAAATGGCCTTCCTGATACATTTGCCACTTTCTTCAATTTTAAGAAACAGTTTAGGGTCACGATGTGATGTAATAATGAAAGATTTAAGTTTACTTAAGTTTATAAATAATGTAATCTGCTTGTGGCAGACGCTCCGCCACAGCACTGTCTTGCAAGCAACCAGATAGTATCCGCTGCCGTATCACCAGATCAACAGCGCAGCTTCTTCCTAAAGAGCTTTGAGACTCCTCAGTTATCCTCTGTATAACCATAAATAATAGATTTTTGTGTTTTGTGTGTCTTTAAATGAAAAGGAGTTGCATTTCATTGTACAACCCCTGTGATTTGATAGAACTGAATGCATTTGAAGATTTAGTATATAATCTTTTCGACCACAGAAACATGTGTGGTCCCAACAGGAACAAGATAATCTGCATCACA